CAAGGGAGACTAGAGTGGTCATTTCTAGCTTATTGGCCGTCGTCAGCCAGTCACACCCAGCCCCCAGTGGTGCCCCACTCGAGCCTCGAATTCGCGACCTTTTTTATCAGAGTCAAACGCCCTAACCATTGAGCCACGAGCTCGTTGTCTAGCCGGTTTGAGTCAGGGGCTACTCACACTCGTTGATGAACGGCCACCTGACCCTCGTCTTTGCCGGCAATGCTATCTGCCTATACTGTCAACTGTTACGGCTGTCAGAGCCTCTGGCGAGACACAAGGCAGAGCGGGACAGATGAGCCTTGTAAGCAGTCAGTTGAACGTTAATCAATTAAAGGAAGTAAATGTTGGCTGATAAACGCTCACGGATCGCTTTCAGAAACCACTCGTGCCGTTCTGCCTTGAGGCTCACTCTCGAGCCCCGCCAGCAGCCAGTATTATAAGCAGAGGAGGGTTGCCGAAAAAACACAATGGGGTATGGAATGACCATTAGGAGTCATCAGCCAGCCATACCCAACCCCAAGGTGTGCACTACCCGAAAGTAAATGTCACCTTTCGGGCAGCCAATACGTACTGTAAAGGCGACCTGTTGTGCAATCTGGCAGTCCCTAGACAGACGCTGTCGGATTGTGATCGAGTTAATTCAGACGCCCGTCAGGCCTGCCTCCATTTTCACACTTGGTTAGCGCGGGTTATGTCAACTGGGAAGCAGAGCAGTTTGGTATACCTTCATTATTGAACTGAGATAGCATATCTCGGTGATAAAGGGGCCTTCAGAAGAAAAAGAACGCACTAAATGCATAAGACTGCTGTGTGTGGGTTGAGCAGGTTACAAACTCAGAACCGATAAGGTAGTCATCATCCGAACCCCAGAAAATGCATGCTTGGAGGAAAAGCGAAGCGTCAAAAAGGAAATTAGAATGTGTTTAAGCAGACGAATTTTCAAGGCCGATGGAGGATTTGCTGCTAGAATTCGAATTTTATTCCAGTCTAATCTCTTATTCACGCGAACTATGTCCTCCTCCGCGTTATCTATTTATGCATTCGAGTGCCTAGCCAATAAATGGGTCTAAACTCGGAGTTCGCCCACTTCTGGTCCGGTTTATACGGCCTGAGTGGCACGTGTGTATAGTAAAATTGGAATTAAATCTACACGTCGGACTAGGACTCCTCTGATGTTTTAAGGTATCACGTAAGATGGTTGGTCGAGATGTCAAAGTTGAGACGAATTTTAAACCCTGAAGCAAGTCCGATGCCTCAAGGTGTAAGCAGAAATGTCCACACAGACAGGATTTCGGTTGAAACTGACATTTGTTTGTCAGAAACAGTTCCTTCTAAACATCACCGTAGTTCACTATACACGAATAACTACTTATTTCCTTGTACTTTATTATTTAGCTTTGTTTGAGTTTTTAGTTTATTATTTAGTTTTACCTGTTTGTCTAAATAGCATCCAAATAACTGAGTCAGTTGTGCTTTACTAATCCTGATACCAGCCACTGTTATCTAGAAGACGAGAGGGACTTAACCTACTTCATAACCAGCGTATTAGCTGGAAAACAGAGACTAGTAGCCCTGAGGCAGAACGAGAAATCTCCCTTTGATTTAAAAGTCGAGCCGTGCACAAGCGGATTCGGGTGTCTCCTGTACGACATTACCTTGAAGACAGACTGCTGCGTCAACTCCCTGCCTGTACCCGTTAGTTCATTACCCGGGAAGACAGATATTATAAAGCCACCTAATTTGTAGAGCTGTACTCTTTCGGTTCCTGTGGAACCCCTTCACTAAGACATTGCCAGAGGGCTCCCGCTGACACTACAGCGAGCGAAATGTGTCAATGATACCAACAAAGACAAGAGTGACTGGGACGGTCATTTCTGCTGTAGGAGTCGTGATTCACCAACCACCTACGTAGCCCAGCATTTCAAAATCCATGTAGTTGAATCCGCACTTTTGGACATTGAATGTTAAATCCAACGCTCTACCACTGAGCTAGGGGGTTTATTGTCCTTTCCTTCTGCACCCGAAAAATCACAGAAGGAGCCCACCTGCCCCACGGCAGACTCA